CACCCACCAGACCACCGCGGAACTGCCCCTGGAGCTCCACACCGTGTCGTCCCACTTCCCACAGCACCAGGTCTGTAACCTGCCCCCCGACGGCCCAAATAAAATGCATGTGACGGTCCTCATAGAGGGAGCCCCCTGCACCATGGAGATCGACACCGGGTCGACCTACTCCATAATATCCGCGGACACGCTCCGTTCACTGTGTCCTCAGGGGGGGCCACCACTACAGAAGTCACGGGGTTTCCGGTTACGGGACTTTAACAAAAACCCCGTGGCGGTGGTGGGCTGGGGCAAGTTCCGGGTCCAGTTTCAGGGCTTCAAGGGCCAACTGGACCTACTGGTTGTGGACCGCCCCCTCTCCAGCTTGTTGGGACTGGCCTGGTTCAAGGCCCTGGGGCTCTCCGTTACGGGCATCAACCAGGTTGGAGCACAGGATTTCGGGGCGGTGTGTGCAGAATTCCCCCGCGTCTTCGATGGGACCCTGGGGCGGTACACGGGCCCCGCCATCTCCCTGGACCTAGACCCAGCGATACGCCCCATACGCATCAGGTCCCGGCTGCCCCCGATCTCCATGAGGCCGAAGGTGGAGGCCGAGCTTGATCGCCTGGTTGAGCAAGGCGTGCTAGAACCTGTGGCGTCGGCCCGGTGGGAAACCCCCATTGTCACACCAATCAAGCCGAACGGGGACGTCCGCATCTGCGCGGACTATAAATGTACCATAAACAAAGCCCTACAGCCCCACGCATACCCGGTGCCGGTAGTAAGCCAAGTGCTGGCGGCCCTGGCCGGGGCCCGGGTGTTCGGCAAACTGGACTTGGCCCAGGCGTACCAGCAGCTACCGGTGGACGCCGCCACGGCCGAGGCCCAGACCATTGCGACCCACAAGGGGGCCTTCAAAGTGCACCGCCTCCAGTTCGGGGTCTCAGTCGCGCCGGGGATCTTTCAATCTTTTATGGATTCCCTTCTTAAAGGCATCCCCGGAGTTCAGCCGTTTCTAGACGACGTGCTGATCGCCGCGCCAGACCCCTCGTCCTTCGCAGACCGTCTGAGGGCCGTTTTACAGCGCTTCGACGCGGCGGGCCTCAAGGTGAAACGGGAGAAGTGCCTACTGGGGGTGCCGCGGGTGGAGTTTCTGGGCTTCGCGGTGGACGCCGCCGGCCTGCACCCCTCCCAGGACAAGGTAGAGGCCATCACGCACGCCCCGGCCCCGAAGTCCAAGACGGAGCTACAGGCGTTCCTGGGCCTAGTGAACTTCTACCACTCCTTCTTGCCCCTGAAGGCGGCCGTCGCAGAGCCGCTCCACCGCCTCCTCGACAAGTCAGCACCATGGGTCTGGGGGCCTCCGCACGCCGCGGCTTTCCAAACAATAAAGGACCTCCTGGTCTCTAATGCGGTCCTCGCCCATTTTGACGAGGCCCTTCCCGTGGTGCTGGCGTGCGACGCTTCTCCCTATGGGGTCGGGGCGGTCCTGGGGCACAGACTACCGGATGGTCGCGAGGTCCCGGTGGCCTACTACTCGCGGACACTGTCGTCGGCCGAGCGCAACTACGCGCAGATCGACAAGGAGGCGTTGGCAATCGTGGCAGGGGTGAAAAAATTTCACCACTACTTGTACGGCCGTCCGTTCACGATCCTGACGGACCACAAGCCCCTGCTGGGCCTCCTCGCACCCGACCGGCAGACGCCACAGATCACCTCGCCCAGGGTGCTACGCTGGTCCATCTTCCTGGCGGGGTATGCGTACGACCTCGTCCATCGGCCCGGGAAGGCGATGGGCCACGCTGACGCTCTGAGCCGCCTGCCCCTCCCCAAGTGTGACCCGGACCCGGCCCCCGCGCTCCTGGTCGCGAGCCTGGAAGCCCTCACGGACCAGCCGGTCCATGTTTCGGAGGTGGCGCGCTGCACCTCCAAGGACAAGACTCTGGGGAGGGTCTTGGACTGGGTGGTGAGGGGGTGGCCCGAGGCCAAAGGAGACCCGGACATCACCCCGTTCAACACCCGGAAACACGAACTCTCAACCCACAAGGGGTGCTTGCTGTGGGGAAGCCGGGTGGTCATCCCCTCGCCTTTAAGGGAACGGGTACTCACCGCCCTGCATGAGACACACCCCGGGGTGGTGCGGATGAAAGCCCTGGCCAGGAGCTACGTGTGGTGGCCGGGACTGGACGCCGACATTGAAGGGGTAGTCAAGAGGTGCCAGCCATGCCAAGCCTCGCGGCCGGAACCACCCCGAGCGCCCGAGAGGGCCTGGGAATCCTCCCACCGTCCCTGGTCCCGCCTCCATCTGGACTTTGCGGGACCCTTCCAGGGCAAGCTGTTCTTCATCCTGGTGGACGCATACAGCAAGTGGCTGGAAGTGGTCCCAGTGCCCTCCACATCCTCGCAGGCCGCAATCCGGGCCATGTGGAGGATCTTCAGCGGCCAAGGGATCCCCGACACGCTGGTCACGGACAATGGGACCGCGTTCACCTCTGCCGAGTTCCAGGCGTTCACCAGGTACTACGGGATCCGCCACGTCCGATCCGCCCCGTTTCACCCCGCTACAAATGGCCAGGCGGAGCGCATGGTGCGCACCACAAAGGACGCACTTCGCCGACTGGACTCCACCGATTGGGACTATAAACTAGCCGCTTTCCTCTTCGGACAGCACACCACGCCACACTCCACGACCGGCCGCACCCCAGCCGAACTACTGCTGGGCCGTCGCCTAGCCTCCCGACTGGATCGGTTACACCCAGATCGGGCAACCCCGGAGGCCCCGGGCACCGAGACGTACGAGCCGGCCAGAGGGTTCTTTCCAGAGGACCCGGTGTACGCCCGAAACTACGGCCGGGGGCCTCAATGGATCCCAGCCCGAGTCATACGGGTCAAGGGCCCCCGTTCATACGAGGTCTCCAGCGAGGACGGCCAGATCCTCCACCGGCACATAGATCAGCTGCGCCGTCGCACGCTACAGCTGGACCCTGAGGATCCGGACGAGGACCCAGAGCCTGCCACATCGGCCCCACTCCCGGCACCGGATCCACAGCCGCCTCTCCGTGAGGAACCCGAGGCACCTCACACCGTGGTGCCAGCCTGTCCTGCCTCCTCGGCGCCCTCGTCGGTCCCAGGCCCCTCGGCTCCCAGGGCCCCCGAGACCGAACCCATCGCTACCCCGGGGCCCCGACGCTCGACGCGCCCCAAGAAGCCACCCGCCTACTTGAAGGACTTCGTCTGTGGGTGCCTTCTGAACCAAGGGGGGAGGGGTGTAATGTATTCAGCCTGACATGCCCGGACTTGCCCGGGCTGGCCAGGCACAACTCTTCAATAGCTTCATGTCCAAAGACAATGGGTCCGTAGGATCCTAGCCGGCCCCAATCAGAGGGCCAGCTTCTCAGCCGGGAGACCAATGGTCGCCCGGTTACTGTAAATAGCCTATCGGGAGTAGGGGGTGTGTTTAGGTGTACTTGGTGGCGGGTTTTCTGAACATATATAACCAGCCTGCGAGCTGGTCCCTTCGTCTTTGTCTTGAACTAAATAAAGGTATGCTTAGCTGAAATCGCTCTCCGTCTGCATACTTTTCAGCGTCCGTCTGCTGCGGCCCCAATCCGTCCCTCTCCCGGGCCAAACCTTTACGTGTGACCGGGGCCAAAGAATCAGTAAATATAAAGTACTAGGGGATTCCCTGCTCCCAAATGTCTCAGTCTTGTATGTGTGGGTCTGGATTTCCCCCTCCCTTCCCTTTCTTTTTGCAGATTAACAGTGGGAGGGAAGTTGGCAGCCAGTTTGCACAAAAAAATGCGGGTTTTGCTTGTAGATGTGTGCAATTGTGAAGTCGAGCCTCAAGGACTGGATTCTCCGGAGCAAGCTGTCAGTGCAGAAAGAACCTCTGTGTTCCTTGGAGAAAGGACATGCTCTAAGCCTCCAACCTTTGGAAAACATCAGGCTAATAGGAGGACACCGTCACAAAGACGCAGATTTGAAATGCAGGAATGGTTTATTTAATGAATCTTACAGCAGAAGGAATGCAAAACCGGTTTGCCGTGGCCAGAAGAGTGCATAGCGTATGCGCACAAAAGTGGGGGGGAAGAAAGTAACATCTGATTATCCCCCCCACACACACACACACAGAGTCTTCTTTATATCTGGCGCAACCTGGGTAGTTGGCTGTGGAATGGGCATTGCTGGCTAAAGGGCATGTTTAAAGAACTGGTCCAGTGGAAGAGGCAAGCTGGATTAAGGTAAAGACAGACATAATATTTGTAGACAGATCCAGGTGGGTAACCATGTTGGTCTGAAGCAATAGAACAAAGTTTGAGTCCAGTCGGGCACCTTTAAGACCAATGAAGTCTAATTATTCCCATATACCCAGAATGAAACTTTGTTGGTCTTAAAGGTGCCACTGGACTCAAACTTTGTTCTATCGTATTTGTAGGTCAGTGCAGCACTACTTTGGAAGTGTGCTCATACCATTTTCTCCAGGACAGAGTATGGGGGGCGGCGGCGGCAGTGGATTCTGAGAGCTGGTAGCAAAAGCCAGTTAAGGAAGGTACGGACTGGCTAGCATCCAGATGTGAACAAGATAGTCCCTCCAATCCCCTGAACAAAAGCTTTTCCACAGTATCAAGTTTCCCCCTGCCCGCTCTTTGTTCCATCCGTGGCTTTCCCTCGTTTCCGCAGATGATTTCTCCCTCCCAGGAGCAAAAACGCCGTTTGCCCCCTCTTGTGGTGCAGCAGGGAAATTCCCGGAAACAGGGAAGCCTAATGCTGTGGAGCAACACGGAACAGACTGTGTTTTTGCACCTGGGACTGCGAAAATATCCGCAGAAATGAGGGAAAGCAGCGGAGGAAGGCAAGTGCAGGCGCGGGGAAACTCGACACTGTGGGAAACGTCCCGCCTGGTCCCCTGTTCAAATATATGGTCTGTCTCCCTGAATCAGGCTGACAAAACTCTCTCCAGCAGGG